TTTTATACCAAAATATCAAAGATTTTGACGAATTTATTACCACATATAATTACATATTTTTCGAGTTATTACCACATATTATATTACATATTTTTGGGCTTATTACCACATATATGTGAACTCTTTAATCATGATAAAGTTATACATGTACATGTACATGTATACATATTTACTATGTTAAGATAGTACACATAAATAGTAGGATTATATTAAATATGACCATTCATTTAGGTATAAACATTTACATAACTATTAAAACATGATAAATATAAGTCACGTAATACTTTCGCTATAAAATTTAATTTCTAAAAAATAGATTAAAAAGTGTTTAAAATATTTGATAACTTTTTTTTGGGTAGTTTTGAGACATTTTCTATTCAAAGACATTATTTATTGTGAATAGTATTGCGTTTGTATTGATTGGCATTTTGTTTGCTTTTCTTGTCTTAATTGATCCCAAAATCCAATCAATTATCTCAACAATTATGAGACAATTAACGTATCAATTGATCAAAAGACACGTCAATCATGTGTTTAATACCACAACATATCCAAGACTTACACCCATTTCGGCGGCGATTGTCAACAAAGCCTACAAGTCGTCCGTTTCGGTAAGTCTTGTGTCCATTTGATTGTCTAACTCTTCGCTCAATCCATTGTCCATACAATTAGACACCAATCAAATCGGTTGACAGACTTGTGGTCAATAAGAATATGACATTGAGATACTGTCATCCGATGCCGGTGTCGGACGAGACCGCAGACAACGCCAAGAAGGCGAGTGATGGCCGCCGACCTCTTGTGGTGTTCTTCGCGTGGATGTTAGCCAAAGACCAACACATCGAGAAGTATCGGAACCTGTATTTCAAGCGCGGCTTCGATGTGCTCACCGTTAAGACGAGTCCTCTGGAGCTGATATTCCCGACGAGGGGTTCGCAGAAAGTGGCCGAAAATGTGATGAATTTCATGCACGAGAAGCGCTCGGATTACCCGTCGGTTGTGGTCCACGCCTTCTCTGTGGGCGCGTATCAGTTCGGCGAAGTGTTGGTCCATTTGCAGCGCAACGGCACTGTTTTGGCCGATTTGGCCCATACTGTGAAGGGAGTGATCGTCGACTCCGTGGCCGACATGAATGTCATTCCCGTCGGACTCTCGCGAGCGGTCACTAAGAATAGTGCGTTGAGAGCCGTGTTTAAGGCTATGATCTCAACGCATATGAAATTGTTTTACTCGATTGCGACCAAACACTACGCGGCCTCCTCTGAGGCCTACAAGAACAACGTGTTTCGCTGTCCGAGTCTTATCATCTGTTCCAAGAGAGACATCGTTGGCAACGCAGAAGACAATCGCAAAGTGATGGACAGATGGCGTGAGAACAACATAGAAGTTCAGTGGAAGTGTTTCGAGAACTCGACACATGTCGGACACCTTCATAAGTATCCCGAAGAATACAAACACGAAATCGACTCATTCCTCAAGAAAATCAATTTATAAATTGCACCAAAAAATCAATGATTGATTCAAATTGAATCTGATTTTTACTTTAAGTACAATATCTGTCAAAATATAATAAATCTCTTCACTTGTCTTTCAGACGCATTTCCGGCCAATAATTATCAAATTATGTTTACTTTTAAATTTTATTTTATTTGTTATACTATTTTTTAATTAAGCAATAATTGGTTAATGAGTTTTACTCCATTGACGGATCATTAAATGATCATTTGATAGTAATTTTATTTAAAATATTTAGTTAATTATAATTATATTTTTATATTAAGTTTTTCAATACTCAATAGACTAAAAGTATACGTATTTTTGCGAAACCAAATCCTGATTTATTCACTACTTTTATATATATTTTAATTACTAAACACGAGTGCTCTTAACATATGGTGTTTGTTTATGTGAATTATATAATTTAAATTAATTATGATTTTATTAATAAAATAAATTAGGTTTAATATAAAGCAAACGAATTGTGAAAATGCAATATTTAATTGTAATGATTTGTATTGTTTTAAATACAGCTATGTAATTTTTAGTTTATATTTATGCAAATAATAAATATTAAATTTTAAATCTTTTTATGTAATCATCTATTAATAGCAACAAATCCAATAGAAAATGATTATTGAAAACCGAAAATTCCGTAATTTTGAATATATTATTAATCTTATTATTTGTTAACCATTTATATTGAAGATTGAATTTTTTGTTGTTATTTTCAAATTACATGATCTTTTGAATTGAATAACAAAATAAAAGGGAATTTTTCATCAAAATCTGATGGAAAATAAATTGAATGGAAATTTTTGAGCCAATGATTACATTTAATGATTAAATTTTTCTTGAAAATTTTATTTTCAATTTATATATTCAGATTCAGCGAGATTATAATTGTAAACATACTTTTTAATGAATGCAAAATACAACATAAATTTCTAAATGTTAATTTTCATATTTGTATTTATAAAATATTTATCACCTTAATGGTCTCACATCAAATATCTAAGTAATAAATTTATAACCTATTTATTAAATCATAACTTTTTACATATTCACTAAATTCAACAGAATATTGCTATTCGTAAATGACATTAAAATTTAGAGTAAGGAAATTGATTTGCATTTGTCATTATTATTTCAATATGAATGCTCTAATAAGCACTGGCAATAACTTTTGAATTAATAATTTTATACATATTTTATTATAATAAATCAACTAGATTGTTTTAGTTATAACAACACAATAAGCATTTAAAGTTATTTCGTTCATTATTATGATATTTACATCGCTGTTATAGTAGCGGTTTATAGACAATGGATCATAAATTTGGTTTATATTGATTAAAATATCAACATTTGGTTTAACAATAATTCATAAATTCACTCAAAATGTGTTTATATTAATGGTTTCAATTGAAAATAACGTTCAATTGAATTAAATTAAAACAAAGTAATTATATTTATTGAAAAACGGTAGAAATGCTCAAAACCCAAACAAAAAGTTATGTAAAGTATTTAATTTAACTTATTATAAAATGAATTTTAAAAACTATATATAAAAAACTATTCATATTTATAAAGTACGGTAAAATATACTGTAAACATAAATAGCTTCCTTATGATAATATTACTTGTCTATTAAATGTAAATTAGTTATCGATAACAAAAAACAAACAATTTAGACAATATTTGTATAACACTGTAATTGAAACTTAATTTACTTGATAAATATTCATAAACTAAAACTATGTTAATTAAGTTAATATTTGTCGACAACTTTTATTTTTAAATAATTTCAATTTAAACACATAACATGACAATATTGTAGTCCCAATCGATTGCTAAACATTGCAATTATGAAAGTATTGCAATTAAATAAACATTATGTTTTCGGTAATCGTTGTCTGACAATAATTATTCACAGTAATCTATACAATTCACTTCACATGTGAACGTTTTTTTTGGACCACCCTATTTGACTATGCCCATCGTGTA